AATCCCCTTAAAATATATTGTTTTTTAACGCCCCCCCCCCCCCCCCCATCACTCAAAAATTGATTTCAGCCCAGGTACGTTCAAATGGACTGACATTTTGAGCACATGTTGGGGTTGATGTGAGAAGGCTTTGTTAAAATTTTCAGCTCGATATCACAACGTTTGACTAAGATATTCATCAAAGAAGGGTCAAGAATAGGTAATTTTGGTACAAGGATTTCTCAGTCTGGATCCGTCCAACATATTTAAATTGCTTTTTTGTGAGAAAGAGCATGTCAGGCTGTAGAGAAATACAGTCCTTTTTCAAGATTCTTGCGAGGACTCCGAATGAGCCGGTTCATAGGCTGTCATGAATCGAAAGTGTTTTGGAAATCACTTTGAGATAAAATATGTTGAAAAGTTTTTTCGAGAAAATTCTATGAGACACTAGCTCTGTGGTGTCGTAGAAACTGCAGTTTTAAAAGTAGGTTATTTTTGTCAAGAGTCAGAGCTCTCTTTCGAAAATTCTTAGTGTTTATAGATTCATATGTGCAAAAGTTTTCAAAAAAGAATTCTAACTGTGAAAAGAAATGACCTAGTTCAAAAAATGCAGTTCCTAAAAAACTGCAGAGTTAGTGTCTCATAGAATCTTCTCGGAAAAACTTTTCAACCCCTTTTGTCTCACAGTAATTTCCAAAACACTTTCGGCCCATGACTGCCCATTCGGAGCCTTGATTCTTACTTTTTTTAGCGGAGAACGAAGATCCCAAGTTCAATAACTCAAAAAATACTCTAAAAAATGGGTGTCCAGTCACATAAGTGTCTGTGTATATAATAAAATACAAAGCTTAATTTAAAAAAAGGACTCTGTGGTGACCTGCATCTCGACGCACTCTTTCAAATTAAAAAAAATTAAATATATTTACTGAGCCTGGTCTAAGAAATCCTTGCACTAAGATCAAAATAATCATAGATCGAGGAAAAACGAAGAAGATTTTTTTTATTTTTTCAAAAAACAGCTTAGTTTCTGCAAAGAAGTTTGCAGAAATCTACAAAAGATTTTGAAAAAAAGAGGTGTTGAGTAAAAATTTTTGTCATTTGTGAAGAATCCCAAGACGGGCTATCTTCCCGTGAATTTATCTTAATTTGAAAATATTTGACAAAAATTCACTTCTTTTGAGTGGGGAGGGGGCCTTAACACTTCACAATTTAGGACACGAATTAAAATTTTCCGTTCATTCTTCGATACATTATTACTCCTATTGTGGAGCTCACGTATACTAATTGTTAACAATAGCTGATGATAATAAGAGAGTATGTATCATTGAGTTAATTTGAACCTTACCTTGAATATCAAACATGAAATTCTTTTTGAAATTTTTGATTATCTTTTAAGGTGCCACATCTTTAGAAAAATTTTAAATTAAAAATTGATTTTTAAAGATTATTATGAAAATATTCTTTTACTGAATTTATTTACTTAAGTCATCTTTTTTCCATTGAAATATCATTTTCTCCATTTCCTATTCATCTTAAGTGTAGTACAATTGAATAGTTGATCACCATTGATCATATTCCATTTGATCAATTAAACAATTTATAATGCTGCCTTCCTTGATGTCATCACTCATTTCTAGAAAAATTATAATGTTTCTCTTGAAAAATCGATTATGATATTCATTTTAATAAATTAGAAAACATAATTGAAAATTATTTTCAACATGTTTAAACTTCATATCTCACAATTAAGGATGATGATACATATTTAAGTACTAATAATTCGAACGATTAATATTATAACTCTTTAGCATATCAGTATGAATGAGAACATAGTTTACAAAATGAAATCTTTCATTCAACAAATCAATATCAATAAAAGAAAATATTAACTATTCATTTTAGAAGATGAGAATATAAATTTCAATGAGAAACAATTCTTGTTCACAATTTTAAGAATTCTACCCCATGTTTTCTAAATGGTACTAAATAGATTACTGAACATAGGTTTCAATCATCTGATGATTCGATTTAAACAACTCTCATTCTTATTACATCTTTCAAATACAAATAAAATAAAATAAAAAAGTTTCCAAAGAATATTTCGACTTTTAATTTAAAATTTTAATGTTCAAACTTCAAATTTATTCTCTATAAAAAAATCTTATCGATATGACCACGATGATCTATAATATCAAATATCAAATTGATTGAAATTTCAAGAGATTTAGTATTTTTTTTTTCTTATATGTGAAAGATAAACAAGATTTATTCAATTTAATAGTGTTGTTATAGATGAAAAATTCGATAAGGAAAAACAATATCTTTCAATTGAAGTCGTGATATTGTATGTCGGATGAGAGAAATAATTCGATTAATGCTAATTCATTTTTAGTAGTTCTTCACTAGAGTCCATCCGATAGATAATCTAAAAGAAGTCTGAGAAAATTTCAGAAAGCATGAAAAACTTTGCTTGTTGTGCACGTAATCTATAAAATTCAAAATAAAATACTTCAAAGATATTACTGAGATGAAGTGATAATAAACAAACAATGATCGATGTAAATCATACATCTAGGTTTTTATTAAGAATCCAATTTAGTTTTTGAAATTTTACATAAATTCGCTAATCTCCATTAGAGTGTGATTATGAGATAAAAGTCACGGTACATCCTCACCCTGAAAATATGTTTAAGCCTCTGCAAAATCTCTCACATAGGTCCAAAATGAAATCCTTCATGTCAGTTGCAGTTAGCGTAACTACAAAACAATTCTTTCAGTAAAGGAATAAAAATGATATCTTCAGGTGAAGTACGTTTCCAAAAATATTCCACAGCTTGTTCTTTGAGTATCATTCTAATTTCTTTGCATATATATATGGTCTTACTTTATTGATTCATATAAAAGACAAAGAGAACGTAAAAGTAAAAGAAAACTAAATGTTTCAACAGCATGGGTGTGAATCGTGTGTCAATGTAAGTGTTTCTTCATTATCACCCACACCCACATCCCGTTATTCAAACGAAGTAATGAAATAACTTGATAAACATCATTATCAACAGAGATAATAAAGACAGGCTTCTTATTTGTCACATTTTCTCATAATGTTAATTGAAGGTTTTTGCATGAATAATATTCTCTTACTGCCTTGTATGTTGAGCTTTCCATTCTCCAACTAAAATGTATAACCACTCGAAATAGATTAACTTTTTAATATTACTTCTGTTTTAAAATATAATGTCTTTTTCTTACTTATCTACTCATCTTTCTATGTCGAAAAAGTGATTGGAAGTTATAGAAAGGATGAGGGTGATTGAAAACTTAAGTAAACTTTTCTTTTCTTCCGATATTCTGATATGATTGGATATGGTTAGTTCAATTTAGCAAAATGAGTCGGTAAAAATATGAAAAGTTTTTTTAAAGGAACTACTTATATAAATATTTCAGATCCTTCCATTCGGATTATATAATTGAAATCGATCGTATCATATATGGTTAGCAGCAAAGAAATAGCTCCCAAAATATTTTATATTGTTGTATAAAACGGTCTCTTTCAAACATAGCTATATTTTGTTGTAAAAACATAGAACAAATTTAATTTCTAATATAAAATTGAAAAGAGCATTTTTAGTATTGGAAGAATCATCCATAAATATATATATATATTAACCCTTTCCAGTCGGCGACTAGAGAACAAGGTGCAAAAAAGTCTCTTTATGGATTTTCGTTGCTCCTAGGCCATGGAGATAGGAAACGTTTATTTCTCAGATTCAATAAGTGCTTCTGCATCTAATGGCTTCATGTATCCATTTGGATACATCCGACCACTAAGGGACACAAATTTTGAAAAAATCATTTCTTTTGGTCTTGCAAAATTCGATATTTTATGTTTTTTTTTTACATCTATATGTTCCGATGCAATCACACGTCGCCTGTTTGTCGATTTTTTGCAGTCCAAAGTCCAAATGTTTGTAAAATTTTCTAAGATTCTGCAGTATAGTGCAATAGTAGCTCAATTTTTTCCGAAAATTTCTAGAAATACGGAAACATTCTAAAGAGTTTCTGAACAGTCTGTAGTATTCAGAACTAGGTCATTACGAAATATTCAGCAACTCTGTACAATATTCGTGAATTTCTAGAAATTTCCAAAAAAAATTGAGCTACTATTGCACTATACTGCAGAATTTTAGAACATTCTACAAATATTTGAGCATTGAACTTTGAAACATCGCCATGTCGTCACCTTTTTATAGATACTGCCGGTTTACTGCGGTTTTGAAAATACCAGCGATTAACCGCGGTTTATCCCAGTTTTGAAAATACCGATGGTTAATCGTCGTTTACCGACAGTTCTAACTCTAAATTCAATTTTCCATATATCTACATAAAAAACATTATTTTTCACGATGGTTTTATCTTTTTATCAGTAGAAAACTGCTCACTGAACGTCATTACAATTTTGAGATAGAAAAAGAAAATGTATGATAGTGGGTGCTGTAAAAATATTTCATTCGTCAGTATAACTTGTATAACGCTAAACTGTTAGATTTCTTATATAATTTTTTCTCATACATTATTGAGTGGACTAATCTGCCCAAGATTATCATTCAACATTTCGTCAATTCAACAACTTATGTTAGATTTTGCATAATCAAGTTACTTCTTCGTAAAACATTGGCTTAATATATCGAAATGGATACATCCGGCTGGAAAGGGTTAAAGAAATTTTTAACTTTTACTGCTTTTCTCTTTCCTAGTGACATATCTAGGATTTTTAAAAATATATAATATAATAAGTCTTTTATACAGAAACCTTATAAAACTAGATCATTGCGATTACTAAGTCAATAAATCCAATGACTCATTTTTCATCCAATATCATTAAGCAAATGTCATCATGATATTCAGAAGATTTACTTGGTATGAGTTTTATCCTAGTGAGAAAAGGAGCAAATCTTATAATCAACTTAATGTAAAAAGAAAAGACATGATTAACAGTCTTTAGAGAATGTCATGGCAAATACTTTCAAAATATTGAGCTCATCTACACACACATATATATATAAGATACTCATAGTGCGACAAACTTTGATAACAACAAATTTATTTAAATAGAGAGACATGATTTATCTATACACTATTCTTTATATTATTCTCTCATTATTGATTGTTCACAAGGGTAATGGAATCTCAAGTCTTCTTCAACTATATACAACTGATCGATATTCAATTGAACTTCAGCATAACACAACTGATTTATGGTGGACAGTAGATGAAAGTCAGCAAGAAATTACTTTTGAATTACATGTTAAAACAACAAGATGGATTGCTTTGGGTATTAGCTCAGGTACATTACAATTTATTCTTTATATTAAAATATTTCATATTTGTTTGATATAGCCGGTGGAATGAAAGGTGCCGACATCGGATTGGGATGGGTGACCAAGGAGTTCAAGTTTGTTTTCAAGTCTGTACAGTACTCTCTTTATAGATATGTTATTTATTTATCTATTCATAGGATCGATATGCAAATGGTTTCTCGCAACCAATCATTGATAACTGGACATCTATTCAATTCAAACGTTCCCTTGATACTTGTGATCAAATGGATATTCCAATTAAAGTTTTTTATTTATCTATTTAATAACGCTAGTATCACACTTAATATTTAGTCTGGTACTAATACTCTCATATTTGCATACAGTCTCGAAGATCCAGATATGTCTCAACCAAATGGTTCAACCTATTACCATGATAATCGACGAGGTTCGCGAATCGTTCCTCTAAGATCTTATGGAAACCCATCAACAGAAGAAAAGTTTGCTGATCTTAATCATATTGAATATAAATTGAATAATGTTGGCTATTCTATTAGTGAATAATTTCGAGTTAGTTGTTAAATTTTTCTTTCAGTATATTGTACCAGTAGCTGAGACTACTTCTTATTGCAAAATCTTTAAAGCAACAACCAATTTTCAACAACGAAGACATGCAATAGCAGTATGCATTCTATCCTTTTATCGAGCTTTCTGGAAAAGATCTCATACAAAAAACATGTGAACCTATAAGGATATATAAAAATTAACGTTTTGAATCGCAATATATATGATAGAGTTGAATTTTTCCTAGAGAAGCTAGAATCTTGATGTGGATGCTTTCTTCATTCACGTCCATATTCACTCTAACCATTTTCTCCTTTTTTTTCCAGCGTAAAACAATGGTTGATCCAAATAATCGAGATATTGTTCATCATATAGTGTTAATGGAATGTGATTCGATAGCTGTATTCAATGATAACAAATTGCCAGATGGTCCATGTGATGAAATTAGTGAAAATATTTTTTCATGTGTCAGAACTTTGACCACTGTATGGGCTGTTCGTGGTGATGAAGTATATTTTTCAAATTAAATATCTAAATGAAGAAATATTTCGTTTATATAGATATTAGAATATCCAGATATTGGCGGATATTCAATAAGTGGTGATATTGAGGTAAAATATTATATGTTTCAAATGCATTATGATAACCCAAAGCGAATGTCTAGTATTGAATGTTATCGAATTTTATATTGTATTGTAATATTTCCTTTTTGATTTAGATCGTTGTGATAGTTCAGGCATTCGATTTTATCTTGGAAACTTCTACATTATAGGCTTTTTCTCAACCGATTATAACAGTTCTTGCTGCATTTCAACATACTCATTTACAAGGTAAAGTCAACATTTATATTAGCATAGTAATGTTTTTTCATGTGAAGGTCTAAGTGTATGGACAAAATTAATTCGAAATAAAAAAGCAGTCGAATATTTGTTTAATGCGAAAAAATACGATTTCAATTATCAATTTGATAATCATCTACCAAAACCAATTCAATTGTATCCTGTATAAACTTTTTCATTGTATTTTGTTGTTTTTTTCGTATTGTTATAGTTTCTGTAAGGTGATGAATTGGCTACTCGATGTATTTATAGTACAACAAGCAAAGCCGATATAACTCTAGTAAAGTAGCCCCATGAAAACTATTTTGTATTATAAATATAGATATTTAGAGTGGCGAAAGAACAAAAGATAAAATGTGTCTACATTACTTTCTTTATTATCGTCATATGAAAATCTTTTTTTGTTGTTTATCATACAATTATGAACAAGAATGGATAAAATTAATGAATCGTTCTGAATAAGTCTAAAAATTTTATGACTTCAACTAAATTACATCTTTTTAATTATTGTTATTTAAAGGTCAATATTTGATTATGCGAAACTAAAAACATGGTTCCAAGAAATTAAATGGACACCAGAATTAATAGTTCAATAGCAAAAATTTGTTTAATGAAACTTTACGAACTGTTGTGACTGGTGCGGAAAGCATTTATACAATGATTAATCTAAATAAAATATCCTACTATGAAGACTTGAAACAACGAGAATGCATAAAGAACAATTAAAATTCAGTTATTCATGTTTTTATAATACGTATAATACATTTTATCTTCAGAAATACTTAATTTACAGTCATTTTCACATACAAATTCTACAGAACACGGTGTGGGTGTGCGAGGGGATGGGAATATGAGTGTTTCTTTTCTGTACACCTACATCCACAGGCATCCTTGTAGGTTGAATGAGTAATGCAGCATGCCTTTCTTTCCAACTATTGAAGTTACTCCAGTCTTTTTCAGTATGCAATAATGTGGTTGGATAAAAAGAAAATCCAAACACCACTAGTAACGTACGAAGTTTCTATGAAGCAAAAACAAACAGGGATGTACGTGTTAGTAATTGTGTCTAATTAATGGCACACATAACTCAGATTGACAAGCACAACTATTCTAACACATGTGCACATACACCTGTCCTATTTTCTCGGAAGATGTATGTGGTTGTCACGAAATAATGATGTTTTCTCCGTCATTGTAGAAAAAGAAATTTTTTTCCGCGATTTCTCTATGTAAAGAAAACGTGTCTGTCCCTCATCTATAAACTTTAAGTAATTTTTCATGTAACTTGGAAAAAGATACAGCCGACCTGTGAAAAAGCAACATCATATATTATTATAGACGATGGAAATTTCCAAGTTAAATAGCAGAACGATAAAAATATTTGCTTTATGATTAAAATAAAGGTAGCAAAATATTGACACAGACCAAATTTCATGAAATTAAGAGAAAGGAAGAAAACTTAGAATGTAAATATTAAAAATAAATGCATTTGGCTGTAGTCTGGACGCCTTCTTTATGCGATTCACATTGTTCCCCATACTTCATACATACTCACGCGTAATTAGAAAAAGCGAGAATAGTATGATGAATGCACCACTGTCAATTCCAATTTCTGAGTAGCAATGGTTGAAAGCGAGTTTTTATAAAGTATTCATTTCATGCGTATATTGACAATTTTTTACTTAGTTATAAATCAATCTCAAATAATTCCAATTCGAATCCCAACCAATGTTAGGAATCGAAATCGATCAAAATTGACACTGGTGCATACATAAATAATATTGACATATACTTCGAATAACGGAGCATTATGCAAATTTTTATCATAGTTATTAAATAGGCGCGAAGAAGAATTTCACTTGGTTTTTTTTTCGGTGTCAATAACGATTACCCGAATTATTCTATCGATGTCCCCCTGATTGCGCAAATTAAACTAAAGTTCGAATCAATTGTTAAATATTACAACATATCTAATGTTTATAAAAATTTAATTCAACCGATCAAAAATTGGAAAATGGTGTTTATGAGTTTGGTAGCACCGAACGAGTTCGTTTTCTCACCGACTTGGCTTCTTCCGTCGATCATTATAATTTTTATTTTGTCTCAATCTTTCTAATATTGTTGGAAAAAAAGAACAAGATTAGTAAGAAGCATATGAGTGCACTTCGTTTTAGCATTCATATATTTCATGCAGTTTTTATATTATATCACGCACAACACATTTCAATAAATGTATTCATAATATTGACAAACAGCATCAGCAGTTTAATATCAATAACCACGTATTTCCTTTTGGTAACTAGTATTATTGTTGCATTTCCAGTGATCTGTGAAGACTTTTCTTCGAATTTGAAACTGATCTACAATTGAAAATAAGATGTTTCATTGTATTAATGGATTTAAGTTGATTCTATGATATTCCAGAAGCTAATTTTAACATCCATTCCATCATGAACATTGTTTTCGTTGGATTTAATCCTAGAAAATGTCATCTAAAAGTTGAAAGATAATCGACATATTCAAAACTTATATTCCACACAAGATTAAATATATTTATCATGAAAAAAAAACTCACAAATTCTTGTATGTATTTTAATAAAGAATGACTATTTCCCACTTATTGAATTAATACTGTTACTCTAAGCAATATCAAATATTACCAATGCAGACGTTAATACTCAAGCAAAAAATAAAAATTGACAAACTTATTTCAACATATCAAAACAAAGATATTCTATTTATTGATTGTTGTGCCTTTATCAGATGCATGAAAATTCATTCGATGCAGTCAATCACTTGAACATAACAAGTATGTCAAATGTCGTGAAGATAGAGAAAGTTTTGTTCGTACTTTTTATATTCCAAATATAATGCAACGGGTCGCCAGAAATCTGATGATCAATGGCTCGATTTAATACATATCATCTTCATCTTGTTAGTCTACTATGATTGAAGTGCTCACAAGGAATATGAGTTTAAATAGATGCGGAACCTCCACCCACATCCTTCTTCGTTTTCTGAACTGCGAAAAGGTTAAATCATAGCAGAGGATTGAAAAATTATGCTAAAAAACGCATTATCTATCTTTAGCGTATGCACAACCTTGAAGAAGAGGACCCAACCTCTTGGCTACTTTGAAATATAGAACGTTGCCCAGGAACGGTTTCGATCGGTTCGATGTTTTTTCTACTTTTATTATTAGATCTAACTCGTTTCAACGATATTTTAGCGTATGCCAACTATGTAATCAACTTGTTTTCGGATGGATGATCGGATACAAAATAACCGTCGGTGTCTTAGTCAGGATCCACGAAATGGGGGAAGCTGTAAGGATGTGTACAGCTCCCAATAATTGAAAATTATTTCCTATTAGGCACAAAAATGGATAATTTTTTTTTTGAATCTATAAAGTATCTTATACAGATGTTCTCAGTGGAGATGGAAGCCAAGGAATGATCTTTCTACCATAATAATCGATGAATATCGCCGAGATATCAGCAGAAAGCATGAACTTCTATGGCAAGTTGAAGAAATCAGCTGGTTTTTTTCCCGAAACTTCGGCTTCGACGATGATTTAACAGTTGCGCAACGGAAGTTAACTTAGAAAAACTTCTCAATTCAGTCGATTTTTTCTTCGAAACAACCTAGTTGAGAACGATCATCGCCAGCGTGGCCGCCTTAGGCGGCAAAAATGTTAAGAAATTTACTTGCATTAGACGGTAGTTGTCTTTTTGAAAATATGCCAGAGATTGTCAACCTTTCTAAGGGGATTACAAAAAGTTTTCTTTCCGCGAAAGTTGTTACACTTCAGGTTGCACGAAAAAGATCAATAGCAAGCATGATGCGAAACAAAACTTTGCTTTCTCTAAATCTGACTATCTCAGGGGTCACACCCGTGCCCCCGCTCAACCCTGGGACCCTCGCGTGGGGCCTGGTCTTAGCCATATCGGTCAATAGTCTTGCAATCACTACATAATAAAAAGGATTTTATCATACCATACTAGGACTTGTAACTTGTCATCTCTTGTAGGTTCATTCAGCCCAGGCTAGAATATATTTCTTTAAACAAAGGTCTTTTCCTTCAATAATTGTAAATATAACTGCGAGATGATACAATACTATAGCCTTCGTTTTACCTGTTGTAAAATATTTTAGTAGAATGTCTTTAATTAAGTTTCGTTTCTATAGGGTGTGGATGTGGGTGACCATGTAGAGCAGAGTCAGACCTACACCCACTCACACCCAGACACCTGCACCCACATCCACACCCAGACACCCACCCATACCCAGACACCCATCCACACCCAGACACCTGCCCACACCAACACCCACCTTTTAGACCACTTTTCATTCTGTTCTGTAATTTCTTTTCCTCGTATCCATTTTCTCTTTTCTTTCGTAACCAGATTCTTTCTAATGGGTTGGTTGGAAATTCCCCATTCATTGTGCACATTTTTTTTCTTCTTCATACATTCTCTCGTGAATTGATTTATTCGTAATATTTTTGTTGAATTATTCACAATAAAAGTTTGTGATTAGGCATTGGATAGAATAATAGAAGTAACTTTTCCCCAGTACAAATAACTCCTCCCCCCTACATTAAAAGATCCCGTGTCTTCTATTATGTTTAAGCAGAATTTTTTAGGGGGGTCTTGTATTAAGACTCTCGTATTTTTGCGAGATTTGCGAGTATCTTCGAAGAATTCGGTATATACTAGTTTAAGCTTAGGCTCTACGGCTTCTCAGCTCCTATGATAGTAGTCAGAAGTTGGGAAAAGCGTCACTATATCTTCCCAGAGCAAAAAGCAATACGCAATGATTAAGATAAGCGGTTATATTATTTTAAAATTTAGTTAATTCTAGGTTTTGTTCTA